AGTTGGCAGACACACACACACATACGGTGGAGCCTTCATTAGACTGTCCTATACCTCGCGCAAGAATGGAAGATTCTCTGGAGAGCACAGATTTCCCGTGTAATGCTGATTAGTAGCAGCTGTTCCAGGCCGCAACAGGCAAGCGTCCCGCTCGGTGCTTCCAAGCCCTCGGCCACCTCCTGAACTCTTGCACATCACCGCGAGCATCGACCCAGTTGCTGGTACCTCGTGATATTGATTACAACTCTGTCTAACGCTCTCAAGACGCGTTCGGTGCTTCTTCGCCCAACGTATTGGCGGTTGACCACGTTTTGCAAGGAGCCTCACCCGTGTCACCACAAACGCCTTCCCAAATCCAGGATGCACGCGCGGGCAAACACCGCCCCAAGAACGCGCTACTAGACAACGAAGAAGCGCGATTGCAGGAAGTTCCGGAACAATGTTCTTGTCGATCAAATTGTCCGGGGTTGCTCCAGGTACCCCGCGACCCCAGTGCTTACCCGGTAATAACTTCGGGGCATCTCCGCCGAGAGGCACGTTAGCTTTCTTCGAGCGACGAACATGCTTGCAGCGGTATATAATGACCAGAGCTACTATGGCTTCAAGCTTATCCTCGCCAAGTACCCTCGCGCATTGCTGTAATCATCATGAGCGCCCTCAAGTTCCTCGGCCTTGCTGCGCTTGCTGCAGCGGCTCCAGTGGAGGAGCGCGCAAAGAAGCCTAAGAGCTTCTTGAAAGAGCTTGGAAACTCGACTTGGATTATCGGCAATGAGATCTGGAATGTCACGCAAAATCGCCAGTATGCCGACAAGTTGTGGTACAAGGGCAAGGACCGCGTTGGAGATGCTGTTGGGCACTATGTTAGTTACAGTATGTGTGAAAAGGTGCTGTGGCAACGGAGTCACAACACAGCTAACAAGATGTAGACGGCGCGGCATCTGATTTGAACTGGACATCCGCCGCGATTGTGGACTCGGATACCGATTACATCAACGTCAAATTTACGGCGAAGGAGGGCGACTTTCATTGGGTGATCTATGATGACCTTCCAGGCGCGTACCAGTACTTTGTCAACCACGACTTGCCTACGCTGGGCGAGTTCCGTACTTTGTGGCGTCTCGACAACACCTCGTTTCCACGTGGTCACAACAACGTCAAAGATGGTGTGCTTCCCGCATTAGAAGAATACCGTCAAGCTACCAACGTCCAGGATGAAACCTGGCAAAAGGCTGACGGGTCATTCTTGACAAAGTATGACTGGAGTGGGTTTGTTCGAGACCAAGAATACTACGGTGTTTATGGGGACGAAGTGGGGAGTTGGTACCTCAATCCTGGGAAGGACTACTACAACGGCGATCATCTCAAGCAGGAGCTCATGGTATGTTCGATCCGGTCGCGTCGCTGGTATGCGGTTTGATACTAACCTCTCAAAGGTCCATCGCGAGTCCCAGACGGGCGATGCAGTCCAGCTGAACATGATTCACGGCACACATTACCAGGCCATTGCGCGCGATTCGTTTGCTGATGGCAAAATCTGGGGACCGTGGCTCTGGTACCTCAACGACGGTAGCAAAGACGATGCCGCAGCCCGCTGGGAGAAGGAGGAAGCGGCCTGGCCGTATAAGTGGTTTGACAACAAGCCCTACCAGTCTCGTGGCAAGATGCAAGGCAAGCTCCTCTTGAGCGATGGACGCCCAGCTGCTGGCGCCGCCGTCTTCCTTGGAGACAACCGCAACACCACAGTGTCCACGCTCGACCAAGGCCAGAACTACTACTACACCACATACGCCGATGAGGACGGCAAGTTCGATATCCACGACATCCGTACCGGCACCTACGCGCTCTATGCCTGGGGCAGCGGCGGCGCAATCGGCGATGTCACAACAAACTTTACCCAGAACGACGTCGTGATCCGCGAGGGAAAGAACACGAACCTCAAAGAGATGACATGGAAGGTCACCGACAGCGCGAAGCGCATCTTCCAAATCGGCGACTTCGACCGCACAAGCGATGGCTTCAAGCTCGCCGACCCAGCCCACCCATTCGAACACGCCCGCATCTCCAAGTGCCCGGCAAACCTGACCTACACTGTCGGTACCAGCTCGCCTCTTGACTGGTGTTTCGGACAATCCGCTCTCGGTACCTGGTCTGTTCTCTTCCCTTCCAAGAGCACCTCCGCCGCTAAGTTGACGGTCTCGCTGGCGGGCTTCTCTCAGGGCTCGAGCTGCGATATCTTGCTCAACGACGTCAAGGTGGGCAACATCACCAGCGCCAGTCTGTTGAACAGCCAAGATACGTATCGTGGTGCGACACGGGCGGGCGAGTGGAGGTTGCTTGAGATTCCGATCGCGGAAGGCGCGTTGAAGGGGGAAGGAAGCAATCGACTGGACATCAAGGTCACGAGGACGACGCAGTGGAGAGGGTGGCTTTGGGATAGCTTGGTCTTGGATGAGATGTAGACAACATAGTAATGTCATTTGATGTGCGCAACATGTCCCTAGAATTACATGCGCGACGTGCAGTTGCCGGATAGGTGGCTCGATGAGGTTAGCGTCACCCTGGATGTAAACGTCATTTTGCCCAGCTCACTCAGGAGGTATCGCAACCCCGTCTCGCCGACCCGCTGCCCTGTGCCAGCAGCAACGCACTTCTGGGCTTCGCGTTCGAGCCTTGAGCCTTATCGCGAGTGAATCTGAGTCTGCGTATCAAGTGGAGGGTAAGCAAGAGTCGGTGGTTTGCGAGTGTTCGTCTTGAGTAATCGGCAGCAACGCAGTCCTGGAAGCCGCTATCGAATTCCGGGTTCAGTATCGCGACATGATGGTTCTAATGTATACATTCAGCACTGAAACATAAGCGATTCCGCGCATTGCCTCCGAGCCATTCCAACCCGCCCGCACGTTAAGATGCAGCTTCCGCATTCAGCGCGAGACGAGACCAAGCTGCATTCTGAGTTAAGTCGCATATCCTTCTTACTTACTCTGATCGTCTTTCCCTTCTCCTTCCTCGAGACCCGCCATAAAGGCGGATGACTCAATGAAAAAGATACTGCGAGTTGAATCGCAGTATGGACGTGCCCGATGAAGACGACTTGCGTCGCATAGCTTGCCACTTGATCTTGGAAGTGCGAGCACTCTCGACACTTGCCCAAGGTGAGATGTTGAGATCTCGTCCGGCCCTCGAAACATCCGAGAAGATGCTTCGCGGTCAGGACTTTTCTACGCTCGGTGAAGACGATACCAAAGGGGTGCTAAGGTGGGAAGGGGTACGTACCTGATGTTCATCCTCCGGGCCCTACGAGTAATAGTCCTGAGTCTGGGTATGTATCTCTACGCGAGTCGAGACCTTGGCAGAGAACCGACCTCTTCGGGTATTGGGTCTGCACTGGACTAACATCGTGCAAAAGACCGACCTCAGGACAATGGCGGTGTTGCTGTCACTACGTTGGCCTGCACAACGATAGCACAAACATCCACCAAGTTTACCTATGGTGACATAGGATTTTCCACCGGCGGAGGCGTACGACCACCGATGGTTGGCGGTCTTGGAGAGTCCAAAAAGTGGCACATGGGCCCCTCTCCAAGTGCCGTGGTTCGAGAAACAGAAGAACAGCTTAGGCTTTTTACGACCGCAGCTGATCTCTTGTCTCTTTGTCGTCGATATGGGAGCCAGCTACCTGCATGTCATGTATCGTGGGTCATATGACCTATCAGAAGACTTCCGGAAGTCTTCTTATCGCAGATATCTTCCGCACACGTTTCCCTGAGAAGGGTAACACTGGCGGTGGGTACACGTGGGATGGAATCGAACCACCATTGTTGTGACCTGGAACAGGACCACGAAGAAGGCAGCCGCGGTTGCTGATCCTGTCTATCCAACTATTGTACCTGACATACGAGCAGTGACTGTCCATAACTGAACCTGACGACAGACCCACTATCTGCCAGAGCGTCTCACCTCAGTGGTGGTAAGCCGTCGGAGCCAGCGGTAGTGAACTTGCGAACCTACTATAGCCCCAATCTATGCGGTCAAAGAGGCCATCACTCTCTTTGACTTAGCATAGACCCTGCCGAACCCGAATCCATAAAGGCTAAGGGCCAGCCAACTGTAGCATAAACCACAGCCTATAAGACTACAGCCGTTGTTGGGGTCCAGCAAACCTGTCGGGTTCACTCAGCCGCGTTCGTCTGTCGACTTGTACTCTCGGTTCCGTGAAAGTTGTGCGCATGCGAGTGCGCCAGAACCCGGCGATCTGTAAGTATCAAGTCAGCTGGATATCACAGGGTTGACGCGACATCTCCAGAACTTACCTTCATAAAGAAGATCGAAGGTTGAGAGTTACAGTCGATCAGCGGCAGCGGCCGGCGCAGGCTAGAACGCCGAAGGTTGCGAGTCGCACGCATCCTGCGGATGTGAGTGCGACTGAAGAGGAAGAAAGGTAAACAAAGTGGAAGGTGTTATACGAAAGGACGTGGAGGGGCGCTAGACTGGCGCTTGGACCAGCCGAAGCTCTGATTACGGTCGCAAAAGATAGTGAATGGTGAATTTGCGTGGTTACACAGCCCAAGCCTTCCCCGCATGGTTTAGGCTACAGGCTCACGCTCAGGGAACCATGGTGTGTCAAGCAGGATGCAAGAGGAACTAGAATGGGGGGGGTGGGGAGGGTCGAACGTATCGGACCAAGACGTGTATAAGCGCCCCATCGTGAATCTGAACGTCGATAGACTATAGGCAGTTACATGGGTTTGGGCCGACTCCAGACCTTCATTTCGATACCACTACGCCACTGCAAACGCGATAGGCTCCCGTTACAGCACCGCAAAGAGCACTGTCCTCGTCCCACAACTATTCTTTAGCGCCTCCTCCGATTGATACCACACGATCGTTCTACCATTGCTTCTCTCCAATCGTACCCAATTTCCAATACCCAACTCTTCCTCGTAAGTCTTTTTGTAACCACGAAGTGAAGCGATGAACCTGACATACATATAGAAGTGAACGCAATGTCCTCATCTGGATATGACCTAGGACCTGCGGTGAATGGTGGTCAAGGTGATGAAACCTCCAACCTGGGGGATACCACGGCAACCGTGATGGCTCGTCTCGATGTCGCCCTCAAGGACATGCCGGGAGTCACGACTCTAGACAAGTTGAACACTCTTATGAGCAAGGTCGCTGCCGCCAAGGAACTGCTGGGGGGCTTGGAGCCAGACGTACTACTTCAAGCTCGCAGCAAGGTCGATGAACCCGACCGCGAGTTGTCCATGAGCCCGGCCCTGGTAAAGGCTTACGAGCAGATCTCCAAGACCACACATGGTACGTTGACCAGATCGAAGAAGATACAAACTCTAATGTCAACAGCAGACGCACCCGAGGATGAGTTCGAGGCTGCGGTGTGGGCTGCGTTTGAGACCAGCGAGGAATCTGAGATATCCCAAGAGGGTACACATCCACAAGAGCCACGTCTTCAAGACACCCATCGTATCTTGCAGCCGCCACGAGTCCGGTATGTTATCCTGTCAGTAGCCTGGTGGAACAAAGTAGCCATTAACGTCAGTACAGACCTCACGAGAACACCGGCCGCCAGTCCAACCCCGCAGAGCAGGAAGCTACCTCGCAAACCCCTACTCCTGAGTCCATTCCTCGTCCCAAGCAGATACCAAGATGGAAAACAAGGTGCACAAAGGAAGAGAGGCACAACCTTGATCCCGCTAGTAATCTCCCTTGTCCTCGCAAAGCGTGTAACTTCCTCCACGACGACCAACATGCGTACATGGTCGAGGGCCTGTATCAAAAGGACGTGAGCACCGGAAAGATCCAAGCATGGGGTCTGAAGCCCTATACCAGCCGCGCCGGGCACAACATGGGCTTAGAGAAGGTGGGCAAGAACGACCAGAACTTCGATGCATTCTTCAAGAAGTTGAAGAATAAGGACAAGGCAACCGAGACGAAAGCCAAGGAAGAATACGCCCAAAAGAAGAAGAAAACGTCTACTCTGGAGGTCAAGGCTGCTCCTGATGCTGCACACAAGTCCACCAAGGCTGCCACGGACGCTGAGGCTACTGCGAAGGCACCGCCCAAGAAGCGTAAGGTCGCGGCTACCACAGGAGCAAAGGGAACTGCGGAGCAACCAGCGAAGAAGAGCAAGGGTGGCGAGGCTGACCGCTAGATGTGTCTATGGCGCTCTTCTGGAGTATGTCTGGTCGCCTGCCCTGCAAGGACCTAACGATTTTCATGACCTGGGTATCGAGATTTAGTACATCACAGGAGCCAAGATGAGGGATATCAGTATGAGTAACTCAATAAATTCCTGTATGTCCATACTCCCAGCGCAATGCAAATGTCTTTCCAGTCCCTACCATACCATGCCATGCCATACCTAACCTGATGCACCACCCTAGCCGCTATGGGAACGAACAAAGGTCCAACCGGAACCAAAAGTAAAGGGCTAAATTATGGATACATAGAAGAGAGATCAAAGGAATGTATTTGGACTCGCAAGGCGCAATCCACCTCCAAGCTAAAACCAGAAAAGCGCTGAAAGTCGCTGGGGACGGAGGCTGGGTCCTCCAAAAGCTGGGCAATGCAGAAGAAGAAAACGTCATGATACAAACACCATCGCTGAAGCGCAAGGTCAAGGAAGGGCGCTCAAAATCACTCGCTGTGAGAGCATGCGAACAGCCGGTTCGGAGGAGGCGGTGTGTGGTGGTTTGCAGATCGAAAAAGGAATTCGTGAACGGCTGTGGAGCCGAAAGAAAAAAGGGCAACGCGTTTGTTGATTTCGCGATTGCCGGGACGGGACAAGTCTATTGTGTCGTGAACTCGTTTTTAGTGGGTATCAGTTTCTTTTGGGCGATATTGCTAGGGCCACACGGTTGTGCTAGCCCCTCTGGTTCGGGCAATGTTGTGATACAGGATAGGACATGCTATAGGAGACTCCAGAACGGTAGGGCTCTGCGGTCGTAACGTCCCCAAGGCTTTGTTGATACAGGTAATGGATTCCTCCTCTTTTCTATTTTCTCTGCAAAGTCGAGCTTCTTCTTGCGCTCGATATCCGGGTCGTAGTAATGGGTTGCTGTGACAGGGACTTTGAACTCCTGCGTGCTGAGGGGCAGTGTGTACTTGAAGTTACCTCGCACGATTAATTCGAAAGGATACTGCAGGACCTCTTCCCAACGTTCGCTGCCACCAGCTTCGGTCTTGTTTCCAGGGTGCGAAAGTCGGAGCTCGCCAATAGATTCGGCGCGGTGTCGCTGAAAAAAGGAACCTTCAAAGTTTAATGGCGAATCGAAGTGGGCGATGCGGCCTAGCAACATGGTCCGTGGTTCGCCCTCGATAGGATCGGTTCCTTCGTCTACACCGGTAATCGAGATATCTGGAACTGCATCTTCCTCGATCGGTCTCCAATCTTCTACATTGTCATGCGGGCCATTCCCGTGCTCGCGCCACCAACTGTCCGACCCGACATGCTTGCTCTTAGCAAACAGCGAAATGTCCATGTCGGATACAGTGACCCCAATAATGTTGGGATTGACAGCGTTGACTATGAGATCCAGCATAATCTCCTCTTGACTTGCAACGACGTTCTGAATGTCTCGCACCACAAGGCTAGTGAGCGGTTTCGTTGTTGCAAAGACAAGCCCAACAGCGCAGAATACGACGACGAGCAGCAGGATCGACAGAACCAGGCAGCCAGCGAACCGCCGACACCACCCACCATCACGGTGATGCCGGCGCTCTAATTGGCGAATGGTGGCAGTGTTGCGCTGGCGAGGCGTGCGGGCCCGCGGGCTCCGCCCAGACTGGATCAGAGGTGTGCGCTCATCATCGGCGATGTTTTCGGCGTCGATGTCGTATGCTGCAGAGAATTCCCCACTTTTCTTGCTGCCGTTGCTGTGACCATTGCCAACATTGAAAGTATGGAAGCGAGGGCTGTTCGGTTGCGACGCGTGTCTGGAGGACGGGCCACGTGCGCGCGAAGATTGCGGTACCGAGTTGTCGCTGTCCATGGTGATGTGACTGAGCGCGCCCCGACCCTGGCCATGTCTTCCAATGTGGTGATGGTGGCTACCTCCGCCCGCTCGTCCGGAGCCGATGCGGACAGTACCTTCGCCGCGGTCATCGCCATCAATGCTCGCGTTGGTGTATGGGTTCGTGAACTTGATGCTGCTCTTCTTGCTTGGATGCTTGTGCGTGTCGCGGATCTGGAGTCGTGGGTCTGTGAGGCTGGCTAGCGACGTCATGCTTGGCGTTCGCGAGTGGTGCTGGCGGCTGCGAGTTGGCTGCTCGGGAGGATTCGATTCGTAGATAAAGGTAGCGTCCGAGTCAGACGAGTCGGCCTCGTCGACGGCGCTGGCCACCTTTTGTTCGAATACATCTGCCTTGGATGAAGCTGTACGATAACTTGAGTTAGTGCTTGAATAAAAATAGCTGAGATGGGGAGGGCGGGGAGTAGCCATGCTCAACGCTGGACTTGGGGGTGACAAGGTCAACAAAGACGGCCGGTCGTCATATGAGCGGTATGAGATAGGGCTGCCAAATGACGGGTGCACGCCAGAGCGAGAGCCGTACTCCGGCCGGCTTGGAATGTAATAGTGGTACGAGATGTGTTGCAACCTACCAGTGCCTGCATTGATGGATGCGGCCTTCCGTTTGGGGGCCTTCTTCTGGGTCTTGGGACGAATTGTCTCGTTACTGGGCTTGAGCCGTATGCCGCCGTCGACGCGACCCGAGGCGGATCTGTCTTGGTTTACAATTGACGGCTGCGCGACAGAGGGCACGGTCTCGGTTTCGACCGTCATGTTGCGGAGGGGCGGGTCTCGCGATCGCGTCGACATGGAGGACAGGGAGGGCTTGGCCGAGACGGTGTGTGGACGATGGGTGTAGGCGGAGCGCTGTTCCTGCATCTTGCCCTTCTTGGCGCTCTTGGTCGCGCTGTCGCTCCCGCTCTCAGTGTGCTTGGACGTGTCGTGCTTGGTGCTGAGGTCTTCGGTGACTTTGGACGAATTGACGTCATTTCGGTCCTGGTCAGTTCTGTGGGAAGTCGCTGGGGGAACAAAGCTAAGAGCGAGGTTAACAAAGTTTGCGGATGGCAGCGGAAATTGGCTCCGTCGATAGTCTAACGTGCGTCGCGATGACAAACAGTGGGGCCGTTGCGGGGAAAGCGTACCTTTGCGGCTCTAGACCATCAAATCCGGGTGTGGCAGGCAAGCTAGATTCTTGCACCGTTGCCAGCTTGGGAGCCGCGCCGCCGGAACTGCGCGAGGGCGCCTTGATGGTTTGCTGAGGCTGTGTCTGTGGCTGGGCTGGTGGCTCGTCGACGTCGCTCACGGGCACGTCTTCTCTCACTGGGAAGCGAGAGACTGAGGCTGGGGACGAGCTCTGGACGACGATAGCGGGCGTCGACTGGGCCTCGGGCTTCCTGATCTGCGAACGCAGCGAGTTGGTGCGCGAACGAGAGCGGCCGTCATCGCCCGGCGGTGGTGACTTGAGGCGCGGTGAGAGGGGCCAATGGGGAGTCGTGTCGCCCGAGTTCGGTTTTGACGATGGCTTGGAAGCGCGTGTGGCTCGCACCGTGTCGGTCGACGATGTTGGGGTGAGCTCCGGTATGCTGGTGGAGGACAGAGCACGCTGCACCCCCGGGGCGACAGCAGAGTTGGACAGACTGGAGCCGCGGCTGGGACTCGCATCGGCGCTGCTCTTGCGTGAGCGGAAGCCCGGCCGCACACTGGCACCAGACGGTGTGGCACTGCGGTGGTGAGGGCCTGCGGGCGAGGCTTCTCGCGACGAGCGCGGCGAGGGCGAGCCGTTGACGCTGAAGGGCGGGCGCTGGGCAGCCAGCGGGTGTTGACGCATGGGAGCCGACATGTCTGGGGCGGTGGTGCTGCTCGTGGGGTCGTCGCGGGCAGGCGTTGACGTAGTGGGCTCTGCACTCTCTGCCACGCCGGTCAAGGACTGGAAGCCGTCGAGGTCGTCGGCAGTGGATGCAGTCGGAGGCATCATCATGGACGTGCTTTTGCTTCAATGGGCCGCAGCACTCGTGGCATCCTGCGCGGGCTCCGGCGCGTCTTCGCTGGTTGGGGCCTGGACAGCAGGCAGGTCCGGGTGCGAATGGGCGGTAAGTAGATGAGGCTGCTGTAATGAGTACGCGGCGTGCGGCCGTTGGACAGGGCCTGGCGCGGGGAGTGAGCTGTCGCTGTCGGTACAGGGGGGCTGTGGCGCGCAGACAGCGTGGGCATTTGAACGCGCTGCAGTCGACGATGGACGAGGTTTAACGTTGTGAAGACTGGCACGCTCAAAGCTGCCTGCTTGCATCCGGCCAGCCCTGGACGGGAACGCTGACGCACCCGAGGCGCATTTCAGGCACGAACCGACGCCTGCCAGCGCATCGCACAAAGACCTGCTATCTCCCGAACACGACGAATCGCTCTGCCATCGCATCGTCAGCTGCGGCCTGCCGTCTTATGGAGTGGCTTCAACTTTCTCCACGCCCTGCACACCTTGTCTTGTGATAACGATTGATCGCCAGCTGCGCTAGCTTCCCTCTGGGGGTTTGCGCACCACGCCTACATGCCCGGCATGTCGGCACTCGCGCAGAAGCAATTCTCATGCACATCCTGCAAATCGCCAGTGAACACCCCACGGACTTCATCCCACATGCTCATGAGCAGGTTATTGTCTGCCGCGTCGACGCTTGAGGGTCGGCACGGTCTCACCTCAGACGGGTGCAGTCACTCAGTCATCGCACTTGTAGTCTGCTGCAGGTTTCCTAATTCACTGTGCATCATAGCCCTTTAGCCGGTCGAAACATCACTGAGACGCTGTGACAACGGGAGCGCATTGCCAGAACTGTAATAATCTGGGGGCGCAGTACTGTCCAATGTAACGTGACGGACGGCTCTCGATCACGATTCGATCTTGACGTCGCGCCAGCCTTCGCAATCGACTGACATCTCTTACGTCGACTACACCGGCAGCAGACACCTAGCAGCTCCTTCACAAACTTACACATAGTCACCAAGGTAGAAAAGCGACAAAGACACGTGGCAGCAATTCCATCTCAATACTGCGCCTCCAGTAAACAACACGTTGCGCTCCTTGCATACCGTCCAAGATCCGAGCTTCGCCCGGACTTCCAATGCTCCGAACCTCCGCTGATAAGATTATCTCTGCATCTAATCAGATCGAATTTTCCGCGCTAGCACTTTCACGAACACCACCACTCCACTTTACGCATCCTCAATGCTACTTCAAGTATCGATGTTCCGGAACCAAGCACTGCCAAGTACTTGAAACCGCCTTGGTAGCCTTGTCATAGGTGCGAAATGTAGAAGGCGGTTCCAGTGTCATGGTCCTGGAGGGTCGGCAGTGGCCTGTGGTGGCCTCCAGACTGCGGCTCTGTGGGTTTATACGAGTTTTGAACGGGTGGAATAGGGTTCTGAATGTTCGAGAAAGTATAAGAACGCATTGTAAGACACAGTGATTGGGCGTAGTAGGCCTCTTCGTTGATCCTTTCTTCTCCTTTCTGGCCGGACTGCGCTATCGCTTCGGTGTCAGACAGCATGCAGTTCCTCTCTCGTCCCAAGAACCAGGCTACCGACTCTGTCGAGCCCGCCGATATGTCTCGTCAAGCGGCCGACACAGAGAAGGGCGTACATACCGATGCATCTCACGACAAAGCTACCGATCAAGAAAGTCTCTCCAGCAACGCCCAAGCCGGTGTCAAAGCCGTCGAGGCGGCGGCAACAGTATGGACGAAATACCATCTCATTGGCGCCTATGTCATGTTTGTTTCATCCATCCATCTTCATACCTCGAATAACATGTATCCAGCATTTGGTGGATTTACTTCGTCACTGCCCTCCAAGAAGTCGTCATTCGCGCCATGAACCCCTACGTAACCAGCGCCTTCCGCCTTCACTCCCTCACAGCCGCTACAGGAATCATGTCCTCCATCATCGGCGGGTTGTCTAAGATCCCCTTAGCCAAACTACTGGACATGTGGGGGCGACCACAAGGACTTTTGCTCTCGCTGTGCGTGTGGATGGTGGGATACATTATGATGGCTTCGTGTAAGAACGTGGAGACGTATGCTGCGGCTCAGGTCTTCTCTTCTACTGGGTGAGCATCATCTCTTGTCAGGCAAGGTCGGAAAGAACATCGCTAACAACATGTCAGATCACAAGCAGTATCCTACATCCTGACCGTCTTCATTGCCGATACCTCAACGCTCAAGAACCGCGCTCTCATGCTCTCCTTCGCAACCTCGCCCTACATAATCACAACCTGGATCGGCGGTCCCGTTGCACAATCCGTGCTCTCTGGGCCAGGCTGGCGCTGGGCCTTCGGCATCTTCACCATCATCATCCCCGTCGTCGTCACACCTCTCGCTGCGTTGGTCCTCTTCAACGACAGGAAAGCGCGGAAGCAGGGTCTACTTGAACCGCGTAGCATCGACTGGAGCGCCGCAGCCATCAAGAAGTTTTGTGTCGACATTGATGCTGTTGGTATCCTGGTACTGGTAGCAGGTATGGCTCTGTTCTTGCTGCCATTCAGCTTGTACAGCTATCAAGCGGAGAAGTGGAAGAGTCCTATGATCATCGGCATGATAGTTGCTGGCTTCATCCTGCTTATCGCATTTCCTATCTGGGAAAGGTTCTTCGCACCTGTCACGTTCATCCCGTACAAACTGCTCTTGGACCGCACCGTCTTCCTCGCTGGCATCATGTTCGTCTTCGTCTACTTCAACAGCGCAGTTTGGGGAAGCTACTTCGGGTCCATGCTACAGGTGGTCTGGAACCTCAACGTGACTACCGCCAGCTACGTCCAGAGTATCTACCGCGTGGTCTCTTGCTTCTGGTGCTTAGCAGCTGTGGGTCCGGCAATCAGGATCACAGGGCGCTTCAAGTGGGTTGCCGTCTTCTTCGCACTCCCGATCGACATCTTGGCCCTTGGGCTAATGATCCACTTCCGCCAGCCGGGCACATCAGTGGGCTTCATCGTGATGACGCAGATCTTCACTGCGGTCGCAGGAGGCACAATCGTCATCGCAGGTGAGCTGGCTATGATGGCGCCATCGGATCATCAGCACATGGCTGTCATCATTGCTGTTCTCAACCTCTTCTGCTCTATTGGCAGTGCGGTCGGAAGCACAGTATCAGCTGCTATCTGGACTGGAACTTTCTACAACAACCTCGTCAAGAACGTCCCGGCTGGCGTCAATGTCGCAGATATCTACGCCTCACTGCCTAACCAGCTGTCGTATGAGTGGGGATCACCTGAGAGGACTGGTATCGCGCAGTCTTATGCCGATTCGCAGCGACTTATGCTCATCACGAGTATCTGTATGCTGGGATGCGCTCTTATCGCCGCGGCGGGATGGCGCGACATCAACGTCAAGAACATCAAGCAGGTCAAGGGACGCGTCGTGTAAGGATGCTTGCATACCAGAACTCAATAGCTGCTGTATTATCTTAGTACAGCAACTTCTATACAATAACAATCAGCTGTATGCGCATAGACAGGTAGCCCCCTACATAGATGTTTCAAAACACTCCAGTCAAAATACTCGCGCATCATCAACATCCAACACTCTACCCCTCTCACGCATAAACGCCATCCCCGTCCCACATCCTTCTTATCGATATCCCACCCCCATGATCCTAGCGTGCATGAACGTCAGTCGCGTCTGAGACAGAGCCGGGCTAGGATGTTGTCAAACAATGCGCCAGTTAGATCCCGGCTGTCGGTGTTTCGCATCGCACCACCTCCAGATTGAGCGAGCATGCAGACGTCAGATAGCCATTTGGCATCGTGGAAGGAGATTATTCAGGGAATCGGAAAGTGGGATTGGAGGATGTGAAGATGGAGAGGGGTATTAGAGGACGCGTGGGTTGCGGGGGCTGTGCTTGTAGGGTCTACTGGCGGCGTGGTGGGTTGAGGGTATGTAAAGAGCGAGATGGTAGTGATGTTTGGGCAAGACACTGCTCTTCATTCATTCATTTATTCACACTCATTCGTTCCCGATAGCAATCGGCCCACAGTCTTTTCCTTAAACAATATGCCATCCTTCGCCTTTTGGAAGAGCAACAAGCCTGATCCGTCCAAGGCACCTCTGCTCACTGAAGATGCAGCAGCTCAAGATTCTAGTATGGTCATCCCTCTGGTAGCCAAGAACCTAGATCTGAATCCGGATGGCGAGGATTCTGGGGTTTTCCTCTTCGACGACGATGCACTGCCGCTGGAGCCTGAGCAGGTACTAGAGGCTGTACCCCTCATCGCAACACCGCCTGCTAGAGAGCGAGAGCCTTTGATGCAAGAGTCTGAGCGAGAAGTTCAGGTTGCGGTCAAGAACTACTCGAAGAAGCTGATTTTGGACGACACGGAGGAGCCACCAGCACCGCCACCAAAATCGTCGCCATTGAGCCAGCCCCAAGGCACTGCTGCGACAGAGAAACTCGTTTCTCTTGCGAAGGAAGAGACAGCAGCGGTCCAACATGTCCAGGAAGCCGTTCCACAGCAAGAAAGTCCCGTGCCTTCCCCTTCTACGCACGGCCAAGACAACGCCCTCAAACGGCCAATATCTACCGCAACGGCCAGTGCCACGCAATCCCGCGACCGAGACTCTGGTGTGTATGTCTCAGACGATGACAGCCTCCCACCACAGTCCCGACCCACATCCCTCGCTCTTAACGACTCCCATCATCAATCAAGGAACTCATCTATCTCTTTGAAGCACACTGCATCGACATCGACCTCTTCACCCCGTCAACGCACAGATTCAATTGCACGCCTGAAACGGCCTGCAGAGTTGAACCTAGGAACGAACCCGGTGTCCGACTCCTCCAAGCCACGCTCTGAGCTCGAGAAGCGGTACGACCTGATCCGCAATTCGAAGACGCAGTCAAAAGCTGCTCTGCGGTCGCCTACAGCGCTTCTGCAGGAACGATTGAACATGCCGGCGAAGAAAGAGAAGGTTGAGGAGGAGAAGACGCGTGTATTCACACCGCCTCGGCAGACGACGAATGGATGCTGGCTGCCCGGTCCAGGCGCGCAGGTGGGCGCTTTCACCAGCACATCCGTTCGTGCGCGGACAGAAGCTGGCAACCGACCCGCGTGGTGGTGCAAAGTCGACAAACTCGTTGTATTCGACGGCATCGATGCTGGTAGCGATGAGGATGTGAAAATCCACACTCGCTCCAGCAAGGGTCTTAGTATTGCGCGACGACGTGGCGATATGGAGACGATCGTTATTCCGATGGACTGTGCACATTGTCAGGAAATGCTGAACCGACATGAGTGGAAGTACGATATGCGCGTGTGTAAGAGGAGTGTATGTTGGGACTGTAAAGAGAGGTGCAAGTGGGAGTTGAAACAAGAGAAGCTCGCCCTCGAGGGAACGACGGCCAGATTGGATGGCAACAGGTACCGGGCGGATAGTTTGTTGCAAGACGAAAGACACGATGAGGAGCATATGATGCAGAAGGTTGGTATTGAGCAACATCGGCCAACGAGCCCGATTGAAACCTTAGGTGGTATTGAAGAAAGACTGAGCACATAGAAAGGCCGTGGCTTGGGTTGGGAGTAACAAGGTAGCAGAAGAGACGGGAAAAGGAACGTAGCAACTTACATCGTGAGCCGTCGATCGGCTTCAGCAATAACCAAGTGTTGTGGTAACATGCAATATATTCTTCCACAAATGACACTACAGGTCATTCGCTTACCTCAATCCAGATCCATAGCGTCGTCCATGTATTCAAAAGGCGTATCTTCAATCTCCATGCTTGTGTATCCGTACGATGTCTTGGGCTCGAAGTCTCGACTAGTCAAAGTACCATTCGTAGTACCGTCTGAATGCTGCTGCACTGCCTCATGAGCAAGATCACATCCACCAATGATATTGCGCAACATATGCTCTAGTTGTAGATCCTGGAGCGACATATTCGCGTGCGCGTCACCGCTGGCTATGTTTGCCTTGCTATCAGCATCTTTCCACGCATTACGGTATTCCTTCGCGATGCCTAGTTGTACGCGAACATCCTGTAGGCCCAAAGACCCTGCCAATGGGCTCTTCTCGTCATCTAACGCTTCTAGGAGGTTTGCGTGAAAGGCATGCGAAGCCATCGGTCGGGTTCGGTGCAGATCGGGATTTGTCTCGTAACGTAGGGCGTTGAAGTTTGTGCGCGGCGCAGAGGCGGAGACGGAAACGCCGAAGATGGCGAGGCAGTCTGTGATGTAGCGCTCGAGCAGCGTGTAGAATTCGAAGAAGTCGACTTTGAACATGGATTCGGCTTGTTTCTGCGCCGTGTCAGTCTCGCGACGGGTGGGGTAACGGGGCTGATAGCTGCTTACACTCGATGCGCCGCTTCCCATTGCGTGTTGGGACTGGTGGTACTCGTTCTCTTGCGCAGCTGCTTGTACGATCTCCATGGTGCGGAAGTAGGACACCATGAGCATCTCGGCTTTCCAACGGACGCGTCCTAACAAACGTGTTACGCGATCTTTGTCCTGTTTGAGCTTCTCGGCTTTCGATTGGGCTAAACTTTCGGCAGGCGTCTTTGGTGCATACTTGGACGTCTTCATGGTGTCAATGATGGGTCTCGTGTGAGTCGGGGTAATGGGTGAATTAAGCTATGGAAGTAGGCATTCGTCGGGCTTTCAGCTATCCAGTCATCGATAAGCACTGGCGGAGTAATGAGGGTTATCGTTTCGAGTACATCGAGCTTTCACGGCGCTTTCACTATGCAAGTCAGGCATCGTAGAGTTTTAATGTCAGCGCGAGCTGTTGCAGACGTTGTGGGAAGCAGACCGCTGTACATGGTTCGTGCCGAGGCTCATGGCTGACTCAGCTCACACCTGGAAAGTCGAACACCTCCATCTGTGATCGCTTGGGGTAAAGGGACCTAGGTACAACGCTGACATCCAGCACCACCCAAGATAGACGCAGTGTAACATCGCGTAGGATAATATGCATAAATTCGCAGGTTCCGATAGGTGGGTGCGGCGCTGCCTGGAAACTATGCCAGCTGTGCCGCAGCCACGCATCTGGTTGATATGCAAGGGGTGAGTGAAGCTCATTTATATGCCGACCAAGCTCGATACTACTCACGATATCTGTCACTCTACAATGGTCCGCGCAACTCGAAAGCGAAAGGCTGTCGATTATGACGACTACTACGACACGTCATCAGCCAGTTCCAGCATGTCTCGAGCAGTTTCCATTGAATCGACTCGTCAAGATAACGAAGGGAAGAAGAAGAAGAGGAAGAAGAGAAAGACCGTAGCATACGACGATTCAGACATCGAGGAAGTACATCCTGCCTCCATCTTCAGGACACCTCGAAATCCTCGAGCAACGTTCGAAGGCCTCCCAACTGAATTGCGCCTTCAGGTCTACGATTACCTACGCGACTTGTTACACATCCACGTACGCAGACGTGTAAAGACAAAGAAAGAAGCTTCGTCCCAAGCCAGAAAGCCGCCGCCTTTCGTGTGGTATCCCTGCCGCCGTACCAATCCGAACACGCGGTTGCTATGCGCGAATCCCGAGTGGTCAGGCATGTGCAAAGAAGAAGATCGTTGCAGCTACAAAGCCGACTCTCCAGTCGAGCCCCGAGGGCCCTGGGCCCTCATAGCATCCAACAAGGCCATCCGCAATGAAGCCAAGGAGCTTTTCCTCCGTGACACCGTCTTGTCAGTCAATTCGCAGGACCTACATCCCTGGTTGAACCATCTGATCAGACATGCTCCGCAGCGCATGAATCATCTGCATCATATCACGCTTACCGGCCCGAACGAATGGGATAGCACGTATACGGGTCTTGTGCAGTTGCTGCAAGAATACGTACCGAATCTCGCAGGACTTGGATTCCAGTTCTATACTCACGGCTGTTCTTCAATCGACATACATCAGGTATCTCAAAACTCAATCCGCATGGAGCAGGTTGAGTGCAGGAATTGGCTGGTTTCGAATATGATGTCTCAATTCGAATATCCTATCGCGTTTGCTCTGGAGGCCATCATATGGCATAAAACGGGTCCATCGAAACGTCTTGCTATCCGAATGATTTCGCAGGACAGCGAAGATGGCGAGGACGAAGCTGATGTGTGTGTTGACATCGATGACCCGGGGAAATGGGCGGAGACGAGCCTGAAGGCGAAATGGCGAGAGTCTTGGCGGAAGGAGAACTACGAAAGGGCACTGAGCAGTGTGGTTTAGATTAACGATTGCCGTACTTGGTATGAATGGTCTTGCAGTTTAGAACGATCCGTCCACTACTCATCAGATAATGGTGACCTCTTCTTGCTCCATGTCCTCCAAACGAGTAACGTCCGCAAACTCTGGGCACAGCTCTTTGAACCGGTTTGTGTTGTGTTCTCCCCAGGGATGCGCAAAAAGCCCGACTCTTCGAAATATTCGCTGGGATAGATCGA